AGACCGATTACACGTCAGTTTTTAATCGCAATCATATTAGTGTCATCGACTAAATAGGTATTATCGTCACATTTTAAGTACTCTTCCCATTCTTCTAAATTACGTGTTAGTCGTAACATTTGGTCTCCATATACCCAGTTTGACGTCACTACTTGTTTTAACTCACAGATAGAGCGCTTTTTACCCATGCTGTCGAACCGTGAGTCATGAGTTGGTACAATACCGAGCGACTGCAACTGTATTCCTACATAGACGTCTTCAAATCGAAATAGTTCCTGACGTGCTGATAAAAATATACCTTGTGCAACATCACGTGACATTACATAGGCGGGCCCGTTAGGGTAAGGTGGATAAACATTATGGGGCCATTCTTCGAAGCTTACATACCATTTCATCTTTTTATCTCTAAGGGGTTTAGTATTCATGTGAACATCAGCCAGGACATAGCGAGTTTTCGGAGCAGTGATAAGTGTTCCCACGAGATTCTTGAAATTCACTAATACGTCATCGTCAACTTTCATGACATATGTAGTATCAACACAAAAATAGGTTGCCCATTTCCAAATCATTATTGTTTTCAATGTCATGTTTACGTATGTGTCATTGAAATCAACAATGATAATGTCATCGTATTTTTCGTTTTCTTTGATTACATTTGCATTGACTTCTGTGGAATCCGACTTCCCAATCAGAAATACGTGCACAATCTTTTTCCCTTGTACTACTTTATTTCGCATTCTAGTTTGTCTAAGGATTCCTCTTTCTTTGTCTTTTTCGGTCGACGATGGTGTTATGAGAACAAGGAATGGTTGGTGTTCACTACATTTCGATGAATGAGTAGTTATAAATGTATAGTTGAAGTGAAGATTCACAGAATGATTGTTGGCATCACACACATTATCACGCAGCTTGTGCCACAATAGTGTCATTTGATCTGCTGCATGTTTCCCAGACAACACACTATGCTTCAATTCACAAGGAATTCTCTTGTAGACACGAGTGTCAAACAACTTAGCATCAGTAATGTTCACTTTCAATCTTTGTTAGACAATCCCGATGAAGACATCTTCAAATTGAAATGGTTCAATTTTAACTGCCTCTTCAGCAATACGAATAACGACATCGGAAGAAAACAGACACGACGTACTGTCTATGTAAGGTGGATATGTAGTTTTATTCCATTGCTCAGAGGAAACAAACCATTTGCTTGCAGTTTGCCTATTATGTTTTGTGTTGACAAATACCCTGCCAGCTGCCACGTTATTGAATGGTAGTTGTGCCATGTATGGCCATAAATTGTGCGGTAGTACTAGAGTTGAGTCGTCAACTTTAAGTATATATTGTGCATTCCTGCAATACATTGTTATCCACTGAAACATGGAAATTATTTTTAAGGTTGTATTACCAATACCGTCTAGTAAATTCAACAGTATAATATCATGGTACGTCACACTTTCTTCTATGATATCATCAATATTAATATGGTCATTTGACTGTTCAATCATAAATATAACTGCACCGTATTTTCCAATGGCCTGTCCCCATGTTTTACGGATTGCTAATCGTTGCTCGATGTTTTGCAGAAAAGATGATACTGCTACGAGTAAATGCATTCCTTCTCCTTGATTACATAAAGCTGTTTTTGGCATGGTGAAAGCACTCAAATCGGGAAAATCGAACACGTGTCGGCCATTTACTGGACGAGGTTGACCTACTTCCAGCGGGTACCTTGGCCGTGAATATGAGCCGATGTTTATTGTGTAGAATGACATCAATGTGACATAGACAACAGCAACTATGAGAATAATGAAACAATCATATACTTGGTGAATACGTCGTCGTGCCATAGCGATGAAGTGACACTCAGTTCTGAAAGATACAAATATAATAACCCCAAATTAGCTTCTTCTCTTTTCCCACTAACCTGTAACCTCATGTGCTAAGCAAAAAAACTCAGCTATTGAAGACAGCGTTAAGTGACTTTCATGATACTAGATCACCAGTGATCTGCCGAGTAAGGGCCGGAGTACCCCATAATCTGGTGACTTGGTGTCATTGAAGTGCATAACTTTTTAAGGGGAGATTGCCTTTCATCAAAAGTGTCAGAATGTTGCACAGGCTTTCGGATTCCCAGTTCAAATGCCTGGAGGAAAATATCCACATTTCTCCGAAATCATTGTTCCACATGCTTCATATATAACATACTTTATAAGCAATTTATACTGACTAAGGCGAGGCTTCCAACTAGATGGAACTGAACACATTATGGAGCAAACATTATGCGTATTTCCCAAACTTGGAAGGATCTGTAGAGAGCATATTACGCAAATTTTCGCCATATTCTTTTGTTACAGGGCCTTTAGTCTCAACACCTACCCCAACCTAGAACATTGTAGTGTAATTCATAACTAGCCTTCACTTCCTGTCACTACTTGATTTACAACAGTTTTATGTCTATTAAAAAGCTTCTACGTATCATATATGTGGTTAAACACAGGTACTATATCCAGTTTGCCAGTACGTCCCACCCCTGACAATTACTCGGGTGTCTATGACCTTCCTGAACGATCTGATAAGACTTGTATTGGCACACAGTTTCATAGTACCCAATCTCCATTCAAAACCCGGTGTTTCAGAGTATGGATTTTGTTGGAGGACTGGGTTCAAAAACCTGACATGAGCCTCATAGTAAGGTTTTTAACCATACAGGGCCTGGTCTCCCTAGCAGTGCTCATGGTGTTTAGGCTACATGCGTTAGCACTAACAGCACGGTGCTGTAAAATCTTATCCAAAACAAAACGGAGAACACAGATCGACCCATTGTTTCCAGCTGTAGCATTGGTCATAGCTATCTTGCGTGTAGGTTGTTCTCGAAAGTTGGAACTCTACATGAAGCAAAACAATTCATAGTCATATTAAGTACAAGAGGACACAGCTTTACTTCCCGGAAGAGGTTAATAACAAACCGATTCTTGTCCGATGTGACAACTCAACTGTAGTGAGGAAGGTAATCAAACAGGGTGAGGGATGTTCCCTGTACTTGGCCGCCTGGCTGGATGTAGCTCTGGCACAATTATATGGAAATAGAATTAGAAGCCTGTCACCTTGTAATGATCAGAATAGTGCGGTAGAACATCACATAACCCTATATACTCAAACAACAACTGGTTAATAACACAGGGTCTATATCAGACTTAGCTCATGAAGCTGGGTTTAAACATTGCATTGCGTTTTATAAGAAAGATATAGTTTGGTTTTGAATCTTTCAATTTGAGAGTATTTCTCCCACTTACTGGTATTCTCCTGGTTAAATTATTAGAACCCTTTTTCTATTTGTTCTATGCTAACATATATAAATATTTCTGTTTCCGTTTTGACCCCATCGCTTTCTAATAAACGGATCTACAGCGGGATGACAAGACTAAACTTTACCAGTGAGAAGAGTTCTCATTGTTATAATGATTGTATTCTCTCCTTTTCTCACGTTTATACAGATTTACGGGATATGAACTCCGACATTCACCAACATCCTGGGAATGCTTTTGTGCCTGCTCTTGGTGTCTTTAGTCGATTCCATGCCAGCGAGTTTATATATCGAATGGTGAAGAGGTATGGATGACTTCGCTATGTTGTTGAACAATTCACTGTACGACAGTTGTTATACCAACTATAAATTGCAATTGCGCAAAACGTGTATATTTTGAGAAAATGAGACTGTAACAATGGAATTGACCCACACGAACTGGGATCTATTCTGACTGGGATTCCTGTTGGAATTTGAGCTCTGTGTGGGTGTGTTAAATAATATTGACCTTTAATTTGTTCCCTTTATATTGAATGAACTGTTAACCGTTAGTATATGATTGCGTTTGTTGTGCAGTCTTGTTTGGTATCCACACTTGATACTGTCTTATGACAAGGACATTATTTTATTTGTTCTTTCCATGGATGATGACAATACTGTCTCAATTCTGCAATTGTTTTTTGGATATATTCAAAATAATTGATATCATTTTATATTTGCAGCACTTGCAGACACTTAACTACACAACAATTTGCTCATTTGTGCCAAAGGGCACATTGGGCTTAGTCTTTTCCACGAAACGAAACGAAACGAAACAAACCGAAACGAAACCCACACCCAAACCCAAACCCTAACCCTAACCCTAACTCGCATTTTTTT